CATCTGGGAAATATAAAGTAGCAGAATGGGAGTCGAACACCCAAGAATAGTTAGAGATAAGTACCAGGAGGTCCACTCCACGGCTCGGAAGCCGGCAGCACATGCTGGGGAAAAAGGCAGCTCAGATAGAGAAGGGAACACCAAGTAAAGGGTGTTTGGAGGACCCGCTCAGGATGGGAGATGCGTGCTGAAAGTAGACTATAGACCAAACACGATGGCCACTCAATACCTCTACTGCAAACCACAACACCCTAAAGGAAAGAGAGAGCAAAAGGGAATGCCCTGCCACAGAGGTGGGGTGGGGTGGGGTGGGGTGGGGAAAATGGGGGAGGTGGGAGGGCTACTGGGATCATTGGTGGTGGAGAATGGGCACTGGTGAAGGAATGGGTGGGTACTCCATCATTATATAGCTGAAACCCAAGCACGAAAGTTTGTAAGTCTACATCTGTACCTCATGGTGTTTCACTAATAAAAAAAATTAAATTTAAATAAATTTTTATAAAAAGGAGAAAACTATCCATGTCCTGACATTTCTCGATCTGCAGGGAAAGGGCTAGATCCTCCCATCTATCCACACGATCTAATAACCCTCCTAGAGAACTTCAATAGACAAGCCGCTGGCCCTTCTGAGCAGAATGTTATTCTAAAATCCCCACAGCTAATCATCCTCGTCGTGTGTCTGAATAGAGCTGAATGAGAGAGAAATTTCAGAACCAAAATTAACACACGGAAAAGAAAACAAATAAAACCCGAGAGGCTCTTAGAAATGTAATAAAAATAGAGCACAATAAAGCAAAAATAGAGCACTCTGAAAAAAGAGCATGGATATTTTTACATTAAAAATACACAAGCTAAAATGTCAACATGCAGGAAAACTAAGTTGAGGAAATTCTATGGGAGCCAGAATTAGACAATGACACAATATTTAAAGAGGCAGAACAGGAGAGATAAGATAGGAGAATTCCAAAGATTAACTGATATCACTTACCAGACAATTTCATTCATACACAGAATACATATAACTGAAGTAAATGCATGGGCAAAATCAAAACTACTAGACGCAGTAAAACTACAGTGTACTGGAGAGAAGAAAAGGGAAGAGAATAAAGTGGTTACTAACACGATTCTAGAAATTTTCCAGTGTGTATCGTGAGTCACACACAAAGGAGGGGTGCTACACTTTGAATTCTAAATATTATACACAAAAATGAAATAAAATAAAATCCGCTGCCATAAAATGACTTTTTTCAAAAAGTTAGCTGACGAATTCAACACGCTCTGCCAGCTATTCCCAGCCTAATTTTTTCATTCTATTTTTGGCACTTCTCTAGCACAGTTGGGTCTCACTCTTGCCAGTATTATTGTTCACGTCTTTTTTCTTTTCTGTTTCGTGTCCGATAGTGTTTTGAGGTGCTCCTTGCTTAGTGTTCAGGGGTTGCTCCTGGCAGAGATCAGGGGAACATGCAGTACCATGGATCAAAGCTGGTGGATGATGCAGTACCTTGGATCAAGACTGCGCAAAGCATCTGCTCCAACCCTTCAAGCTCTCCCCTTAGCTCTGTTTATGCCTTTGCCTTGACTAAAAAATTTCCCTGTCTACCCAAATTTGTCTTATGGACTCTTGGTACCTTTCCTATGACATGTTCTCGGGACTACCATAATCCAGATTGGTTTCCTTCTCTGTTTACTACCATTAGGTAGACGCTCCGGGTGCTCATTCCATGTGCTGGAGAATGTATATGGCACAAATTGAACCTGAATTAATTGCCCACCTCAGTGCCGATATTATTGCTTTCATTTCTTGTGTCTTGCTATATTCATTGCTCAATTAGGTGGTGCTAAATATTATGGGATTAATCTAATTTCAGGTGATCAAGGAAAAATAAAATCAAATAAAAGCTATTAAATTACGAGATAGAAATATGTCCTCCCATTGTTCATCGATTTGCTCGAGCGGGGCCCAGTAACATCTCTATTTTTGAGACTTGTTGTTACTGTGTTTGGCATATTGAATTCTCTCAGCAGCTTGCCAGGCTCTCCTAGAGGGGTGGAGGAATCGAACCCGGCTCAGCTGGGTTGGCTGCACTCAAGGCAAACGCCCTACCACTGTGCTATCGCTCCAGCCCAAGATAGAAATATAGCCTTTATATTCTACACATCATTTCCAACAGGCAACATTTGAAAAAAAAGACACTTATAGCACCAGAGAAATCGCCCAGTGGATAAGGCACCTGCTTTGCATGCAGACAGCCCAATTCAACCCCTCCCCCATCACCACATATGGTCTCCTGAGTCAGGCGTGATCCTTGAGCAGAGTCAGGAGTCAGCCCTGAGCACAGTTTGGTGTGGGCCAAAACCACGCTCACTGGGAAAGAGACAGACTTCGAGTTATTCAAATCGAACAAATCCCATTTTAAATCATTTCACTGACTTCAGTTCACATCTATTTCCAAAACATGACTGAGAATAGTAAAGGTAAAGGCAAAGGTAAAGGCCCTCCCGTTGATCATCGATTTGCTCAAGCGGGCCCAGTCACGTCTCCATTGGAGATTTTGTTGTTACTGTGTCTGGCATATCGAATACGTCACGGGTGGCTTGCCAGGCTCTGCCATGTGGGCGAGATGAATCACAAGGGAAAAGACAAAAGGATCAAAAGTTGTAGAATGTAACAGGGAGTGAGTAACCTGTGCCCTTCCAGAGGGACAGTGAGCAGTAACCTATGTCCTTCTGAGGCACAGTGAGTGAGTAATCTACGCCAATCCATGCCCTTCCAGAGAGACGGCTGAGGATGAGCCCACGAACACAAGTAGTCTTTATCCAGCTGTCTGAATTACTGAAGAGGCACACGTATCTGAAACAGTCTGACAACCAGAGAATACTTTATTCCCTCCTCACTCAGCATCTAACATAACTAACAGATTTTCCTGCGGATACTTTCTTTACGGGATACCCCTGCTTTAGTCCCAAAGGTGTTCAATGCACGAGAGAATACAAGATATTCTAGAGTAAAGATACTTTCTCTGCCCCATTCAGAATGCACTTTGGTGTAACCATATAAAGAATGACCCTACAATCAGTCTTGATTTTAGAATACTACCACTGGCTTTTTATGATGTATATCAACTTTCTGGATGTCAGGAGTCACAGTCACTGTCCTCCCATTGTTCATTGATTTGCTCGCGTGGGCCCAGTAATATTGTGAGACTTGTTACTGTGTTTGGCATATTGAATACATCACAGGTAGCTTGCCAGGCTTTGTCGTCAAAATTATTAAATTTTTAAATGACACCTCTTTATTTAAAAAATCAATTTCTAACACAATCAGACATCTTAATTTCACATGGAGGGCAATTATTTTAGAACTTAATCTTATATGCATAAGGAAGCATACCAGTGGCTTTTCATCTAAAAGGAAATAACCGATGTAATTTATTTAATATTTCCTATACAGAATGTGCTGTCTTATTCTTCACTGTCACTGGCACTGTCCTCCCGTTGTTCATTGATTTGCTCGAGCGGGCCCAGTAATGTCTCCATTGTGACACTTGTTACTGTGTTTGGCATATCGAATACGTCACAGGGAGCTTGCCAGGCTTTGACATACGGGCGAGATACTCTCGGTAGCTTGCCGGGGCTCTCCAAGAGGGGCAGAGGAATAGAACCTGGGTCAGCCAGGTTGGTCGTGTGCAAGGCAAATGCCCTACCCGCTGTGCTATTGCTCCAGCTAATTAAAAACCAACTTCTGATTCCAAAGATCAAGGTTTTCAATAACATGTTAAAGACTATTCAAGTGCCTATGGTCCTAGAAATTTCATTTAATAGATGCTTCCTAAATCAGTTTGCTAGTATCATGAGGTAGATGAGATGTGTTAAAAACAAACAAAAAAAACAGCAAAAAGTGGTTTCATGGTCATACATATCTAAAAAGACTTTAATTTTACGGTCTTTTGTGTAGGGGGGAATAGGTTTTTTTTTTCTTTCCTTTCCTTTTTTTTTGTTTTGTTTTTTTGTTTTTGTTTTTGTTTAATTAGTGAAACACCATGAGGTACAGTTGTAGACTTACAAGTTGTTGTGCTTGGGTTTCAGTTATACAATGATTGAGTACCCATCCCTCCACCAGTGCCCATTCTCCACCACCACGGGTCCCAGTCTCCCTCCCACCCCCCATCCCCCATCCCACCCTGTCTCTGTGGCAGGGCATTCCCTTTTGTTCTATCTCTCCTTGTGGGTGCTATGGTTTGCAGAAGAGACATTGGTTGGCAATCTTGTTCTGTCTATAGACTAGTTTCAGCATGCATCTCCCATCCTGGGCGGATCTTCCTAGCACCCTGTATTTGGTGCTCCCTTTTCTATCTGAGCTGCCTTTGCCCCTAGAGTGTGCGGCTGGCCTCTAAGCCATGGAGTGAACAACCTGGTATTTATCACAGCTGCTCTTGGGTGTTAGTCTCTTATTTTGTTACTTTATGTTCCCCAGATAAATGCAATCTTTCTGTATCTATCCCGCTCTTTCTGACTCATTTCGCTTAGCATGATATTTTCCATGTAGTACCACTTGTATGTAAATTTCATGACTTCATTTTTTCTAATTGTTACATAGTACTCCATTGTGTAGATGTTCTTTTTGCTTTTTGAACCATACCTGGTGACACTCAGGGCTCACTCCTGGAAATGCTCAGTTGCTCACTCCTGACTCTGAACTCAGTGCTCACTCCTGGAGATGCTCAGGGATCCAACCCAGGCTGGCCACATGCAGAGCAAGTGCCCTACCTCTGTGCTGACCCTTCGGCCCCCAAGACGAGGGACTCCTTGTGAAGGTGGGGAGGCCACCCAGGTGATATTCAGCGGACCATATGTGATGCCCAGGGGACCAGGTGTGATGCCAGGGACGGAGTCAGCTGTCCTCTCTGTCCAGCACCGCCCCCCGCCTCCCCAGACGTTAGCCTCTGCCCGCTGATGGTCACAGCAAGGGTGCCCCCCAGTGCCCCCGGGTACAGCCTCACCTAGCAGGGCCTGCAGCAGGTGCGGGGTCAGCGCACTGGTCAGCAGCCCGCCGGGCAGCTCCCGCACGAAGCGCTTCAGCAGGCTGGCGGCCGCGCTCACGTCCCCGCCGTCCAGCCGCACCGGGAGGCCGCTCTCGAACCCACGCCTCAGCTCCTCCACCGCCCGCACGCTGCCGGCCACGCGGAACAGGCCCTCCTGGGCCAGCCCTGCAGGGGACAGAGAAACGACAGGCTGCTCACCACAGGTCCAAGCCAACTCGGCAAAGCATTGAGCACCACTTGTAATATGTGTGTGTGTGTGTGTGTGTGTGTGTGTGTGTATAAATGTCTATTTCTGGTTCCACACCCGGTTGTGCTCAGGGGTTACTCCTGACTGCTCAGGGCTCGCTCCCGGTGGCGCTTCAGGGACTGAAGGTGGGGGGGATCCAATCCAGGCCAGCCTGGGCGGTCCTGCTGCCCTGTTACTGCCTTTTCCTGAAAGTCAAGCAAATTAGTGTTTAATGAAAGAAATTTAGGGAGATGTAGGAGAGACAGAGACAGAGCCAGAGAGTCAGAGAGCCAGAGAGAGAGAGAGAGAGAGAGAGAGAGACAGAGACAGAGAGAGACAGAGAGCACAGAGAGACAGAGAGAGACAGAGACAGAGAGGGAGGGAGAGAGGAAGAGAGAGAGAAAGAGCAAGGGAGGGGGAGAGAGAGAGAGAAGGAGAGAGAAGGAAGGAGGGGGAAGGAGGGAGGAAAGAAGGGAGGGAGGGATGGAGGGAGGAAAGAAGGGAGGGAGGGAGGGAGGGAGGGAGGGAGGAAGGAAGGGAGGGAGAGGGAAGGAGGGAGGGAGGGAGGGAGAGATTAGTCTAAGAAAGAAAAGGGCTCCCCCAGAGGGAAAAAAAACTTTAGGGAGAAAGTAAGAGCCAATTTCTCCAAGTTACCCCTAACTTTCCTGCACTATTGCCCTGTTCCCGCCCTTTTCCTAAAACTCAATCAAATCAGTATTCAATGAAAGAAATTTAGAGAGATGTAAGGAGAGAGACAGAGACCAAGAGAGGCAGAGAGGCAGAGACACACAGAGAGACAGAGACACAGAGACACACAGAAACAGAGACACACAGAGAGATAAGGAGAGAAAGAAACAGAGAGAGACAGAGAGAGAGAGAGAGAGAGAGAGAGAGAGAGAGAGAGAGAGAGAGATTAGCCCAAGAGAGAAAGGGCTTCTCAGAGGGAAAGGAGCTTTGGGGAGAAGGGAGATCCAACTTCTCCAAGTCACTACACGTGGAGTTCTCTGCATCCAGGAAGTGAACCCGGACGCCGTCGCCCATCCAGGGGACAGCCCTGCCCCTGCTGAACGTGCTTTCACACCTACGGCACAGCAAACAAGAAAACTATGCTTTCTGTAGAAGAGGACCCCTAAATTAAATAGGTCCCGACCTACTTCAACCCAGAGCATAAACCACTGGAACAAGAAATGCCAGGCAGGGAACATGCCGCAGGACACACAGGAAGACGGGCACCCCAGCTCCGGGCTCCCACACATATGGGGAACACAGAGTGTCGTGGCCGTTCTCTTGCTCAGAAGCCAGATCTCTCGCACACTCACAACGTCCTCATCTCCCGGGACTGGAAAGTGAAATGAGCCTCAGGCTCGGGCCTCTGGTCACGGCTGGCCAGGCCAGAGCACAGACTGCCCAGGGCAGCTCTGTACCCGCCTCTGGGACCCTCGGCCCGGAATTAGCCTACGGGGACATTCAATGCCAATGCAGTTGAGGGACCCTTGTTAGTCGGCCCCTCTCCTGCTGTTCTGACACTAATCCTGCCTTTTGGATGAAGACGTACATTTTACTATTTTAAAAAGACAAACAGAAATATGCAGAGGAAATAGACATCGACTAGATTTGAGGCAGCTACACAACGGAAACAGAGAACAATGATCTGACCTCATAAACCGACTAAAATGAAATCTCACTACTCTTCAGGTCTGTAATAACATAGTAATGCCAAAAAAGCTAAATTTTGGGACTTGCCAGAAAGAGCGGGATGGACACAGAAAGATTGCATTCATCTGGAGAACATAAAGTAACATAATGGGAGACAAACATCCAGGAGTGGCGGAGACTAGCACCAGGAATTTTGGTCCATGACTTGGAGGCCAGACACACGTGCTAGGGGAAAAGGAAGCTCAGATAGAGAGGGGAGCACCAAATAAAGGGTGTTGGGAGGATTCTCCCAGGATGAGAGAAGCATGCTGAAAGTAGACTATCGACAGAACATGATTGCCACTCAATGCCTCTTTCTTTTGCAGACCACAACACCCAAAAGGAGAGAGAGAACAAAAGGGAATGCCCTGCCACAGAGGCAGGGTGGGATGGAGGGGATGGGGTGTGGGAGGGATACTGGGATCCGTGGTGGTGGGAAATGGGCACTGGTGGAGGGATGGGTGTTCGATCATTGTATAACTGAAACCCAAGCACAAAAATTTGTAAGTCTATAACTGTACCTCGTAGTGTTTCACTAATAAAAAAAAATTTTAAAAAATTTGGAACTTGCTTCTTATATTTATAATAAACTATCATCTATGATTAATTTACTTTCCTAATCTTCTCTGCTCAATGGTACATGCTACTCAATATGCATATATAGATATGTATATATATATGTCCTATGTGTAATATATTCTACCATGAGAATAGTTTTCATCTCAAACTAGGAATCAGCCTTTTCAACCAAATTCACATACATTTCATTTCTACTATAAGATATGAAAGATCTTTCCAATAGCACATTTTAATCAACATAAGACATTAAAAAAGAATTATAATATTTAAATTGAATCTTTTTGGTATGTAGCCTGATGGGCTTAACAGCTGACATGTAATATGGTAAAAAAAAAACCCACAGCTTTAGGAATGGCTGATATTTAAAATATAAATATAAAAGGACAGTATGAGCAGTACAATAGTAGAAAATGGTGAGCGTATAAATGATTCTCATCGGCGGCCATTCAATATTTTGCCTCTAGGAATCTGGAAGAAATTGTCTTGAGTTTCAAAGGTCAGCCTAGTGATTTCTTGCTGTATCAACACTGCCTTGGATTGCTGAAATACATGACTCTGAAAACAAAACAAAACTTTCTCCTGGCAGGAGGTAGCCAGCACTGGTCACGAGGAGCTGTCCGCCAGGGCCCTCTGTGAAGGTGTCATGGCCCGAGTTTCCGTGGACTTGGGGTGCTCTTGAAGCAGGGTCCCACCTGGGGCTCCCCACGTTCCTGCTCCGAACACTGGCCCAGTCGGAGCCCATGGGCAGGTGGGCAGGAAAGTTGCCCAGCAGAAGGCTGGCCGCAGGGATGCTGGCTGCTTGGCGCCTCGCCGAAATCCAGTACAACGTGGCTGATCCAGGCGTTCTGTGGGGCCACCACATGCAGATGCTTCCCGGACCCGGGGGCCAGACAGGGAACATGTGCCAGGTCACCTGAACCCCTCACTCCCACCCTGACCCAAAAAAAGCCGCCGGTGATTCAGATGCCAATTTACTAATCCTGCATTTTTTTATTTTGGCTTTTTGGGGTCACACCCAGCGATGCTCATGGGTTGCTCCTGGCTCTGCACTAAGGAGTTACTCCTGGCAGTGCTCAGGGGACTATATGGGATGCTGGGAATCGAACCCGGGTCGGCCGCGGGCAAGGCAAATGCTCTACTGGCTGTGCTATCGCTCCAGCCCTGCATTCTTAACTTTAGATGATCTGACTTTTAAATGGATCCAGGGGTGGGGCTGGAGCACTAGCACAGTGGGTAGGGCATTTGCCTTGCACATGGTTGACCCGGGTTCGATTCCCAGTATCCCATATGGTCCCCTGAGCACCGCCAGGGGTAATTCCTGAGTGCAGAGCCAGAGGAACCCCTGTGCATCGCTGGGTATGACCCCCCCCAAAAAATGGATCCAGAGGCTGAAGCATCAGAACTCACAGGACCTTCATCCACCCAAGGATAGTGTGAAGGAAGGAGAATTAAGGGGGGGGGGGTGCAAGTGGAGAGAAGGGACCATGGTGAGGGCACTTGCCTCACATTTGATCCCCAGAACTGCATAGGGTTCCTCGGGTATGGTCCCTGAGCACAGAGCCAGGAGTCGGCCCAGAGCACCCCTGGGTGTGCCCCTCCAAACGTGGAGGTGCATGAGTCAAGAGTGATGGGGTCATACGATGATAGGACCAGGGTAGGGTCATGAGACCAAATAATATGTAAGACGGCATCACTGCAGCTCTGAGTGGAGGAGAAAGACAAGGTGCAGGTGCAGGCCTGCTCGCAGCTGAGAGGGAGAAGGTGAGTCTCGGCTGGCGGGCAGAGCATCCTGCAGACTGGGAGGCCGAGAGTTTGACCCCTGGGTTCCTGGACTGCCGGGTGTGTTTCTGGTGGAGCGCCCTGCAATGGTGTGTGAGAGTAACGACTCCGTGGCCACGGGCCTGCAGCCAAGTGTGAGCCACTGGACACCGCCACAGCGGTGACAACCCAGGGCGGTGAGAGGCGACCAGAGAGCAGGAGAGAGCGAGCCTGTGTCGGAAGAGCTGGGCCCACGGGAAAGGCCCTTGCAGAGATACAGAGGAAAGGAAACGCAAATGCAAGAACGATGAGAAGTTACTGCCTAAGGGAGAGGATGCGCTGAGAGGGTAACTGAGAACTGGAGCCCCAGGAGGAGGCCCAGGAAAGGGCAAGGTGAGGTGGGGGTGGAAGGCAGTGACTTCAGCATGCCGGCTTCAAGGAGACAGAGCACCAGGGAAGCAGGCGGGCCAGCGTGGGCGGCTGCTGACGGCCTAAGAAACCACCTTCCCGAGAAAGGCAGTTCCAAGAACTCGGCCCTAGTGAGGGCCTGGTGGTGGAGCTGAACAAGGACCAGCTGAAGCCAGTCACGCCCAGACTGGAGGCTCTCCTGTCCCCCCCCCCCCCCCCAACCCCCTTCTCACCCGCGGACTGTTTTTTCTTAAGAGAAAGAGAAAGTGTTCATCAAATTCAGTTTTCCTGACCTTTACTCTCTCACTCTCTCTCTGTTTCCGCCCCCCCTCTCCGATGAGTCAGTGGCAAACGAGTTTCTCAGACTGGTTTCCGTGACCCAAGCCAATAGCTTCGAGGGCTCGAGCGCATTCAGGAGACCAGGGTTCAACCCTTGCTTGGCATGCAGGTGCCCTGAGCATGAGAGTAACCCCAGAGCATGAGGTCTGGCCCCGATACC